AGACTTATATACGACATTATGCATTATACTGAAGAGAAAGATATCCCTGGTCTTCTTCTTTTAATTGATTTTGAAAAAGCTTTTGATTATTTGTCCTGGTCATTTGTTCAAAAAACATTGTCTTATTTTAATTTTGGAATTTCTATTAAACGATGGTTTAATATTTTTTATAAAGACGCACAGTCTGCTGTAAGTCAATGTGGATTTCTGTCAAATTTTGTAACAATAGGTAGAGGCTGCAGACAAGGAGACCCGCTTTCTTGTTACATCTTTATTTTATGTGCTGAAATTCTCTCTCTTAAGATAAGAAACTGTAAAGAAATAAAAGGTATAAAGATAGATAATTTAGAACATAAATTATCTCAATTTGCGGATGATACAACTTTAATATTGGACGGGTCAAGCAATTCCTTAAATCAGGCACTTGATGTGTTATCGAAATTTGCTCATATATCTGGACTAAATGTAAACTTTGATAAAACAAAAGTAATTTGGATAGGAAAAAATAAATACTCATCAAATAGTATAAAAACACGATGGAAATTATCATGGAACCAACATAATTTTAAAATGCTGGGCATTACTTTTGATGTAAATTTAAAACAAATGATACATATAAACTATGAAGATAAATTAATTAAGATTCAAAATTTAATAATCATTGGAAAAGGAGAATTCTCAGTCCAATAGGAAAAATCGCAGTTATCAAAACGCTTTTTAATTTCAATTTTAAACCATCTTTTTATAGCCCTACCATCACCACCTCAGAACATGATAAATAAACTTAACAATATGTTTTATGATTTTATATGGCAAGGAAATGTTAAAATAAAAAATACTGTTATGGTTAAGGACTATTCAGAGGGAGGTTTAAAAATGTTAAACTTAAATGCTTTTATAATGGCTTTAAAGATAAGCTGGTTCAAAAGAATGATTAGCGATGCCTGTTGGAAAAACATTATTATAAATGAATTTGATATGCAAAAATTATTTCACTGTGGAAAACAATACATAGATAAAATTGCAAAAAGCATTTCAAATCGTTTTTTGGAAGGACACTTTTAATGCTTTTTCTACATATATAGATAAGTATCCTATAAATAACGAATCTTTCGCACAACTACCATTGTTTTATAACGATAAATTACTAATTGGCAATAAAAGTATATTTCTTAATTCATGGTTTAAAGCCGGTGTATATTATATCGGAGATATGTTTGATTCTTACGGTGCTTTTCTCTCATTAGAAGATTTCAATAATATATTCAGGCTTAATGTAAACTTTTTAATCTTTCATGGAATTAAAAAAATGATAAATGAAATGATGACAAAATTTAATTTTAGTATGAATGACGTAAAAAAACTTGTGGATCAAAATTGCCTCCTTATCTAAAAAACATAATTATTAACAATAAAGGATCAAAACAGACTTACAATTTATTGAATACTAATAACACACAACCAACAAGTAAAGCAACCTGGATGAAAAAGCTTGATCTTTATTTTGAGGAAAGGAAATGGAAAGAAATTTACGAAATGCCATTTAAAATAACAAAAGATTCTAGGATACAGTGGTTTCAAATTAGGATTATTCATAGAATAATTGGCACTAACTATTATTTACATAAAATTAAATATAATGATAATCCTCTTTGTACCTTTTGTAAAAATGAAAACGAAACTATCGAACATTTGTTTTGGCAATGTAGTTTTGTAAAGGACATCATTGATATCTATTTCAAAACAAAAAAGAATATTTTTCCGTCATTAACTGCAGACGAAATGATTTTTGGCTTAACAGATGAAAGTCCTTTATCAAAAACTAAAAATCTAATTTTAATTTACTTTAAAATATATATTTATCAATGTAGAATGCAAAAGAGTATTCCCACAGTTTTTGGAGCTAAAAAATATATAACATATTGTTATAACATTGAAAAAGAGACTGCAATGATAAATAACAATGTTGAAACCTTTAATTCCGCGTGGAATTCTTATCTAATTTTCCTTTATGCAGATTAACACAATATTTTTGTTTTCTTCTTCTTATAATTATTATTACTTTTATTATAATTATTATTACTATTATTATTATTATTCTCTACATATATGCAGACTTAAACTTTTAGGCTGTATTGACCAATACAAAAACTACACATCAAACTATTATATTTTTACCCCGCTTAAAATGGCTTTAGAGATAAGTAAATGACTGAAAAGATGAATAGATATGATCAATAACAATATCAAAAGCGCAGACTGCAGTGAGAGAGTGCAGATGAATGAGTGTAGTATGTAAAATGAATTATTTTTCTTTTATGATATGTTTTGTTTTTTACTTTGAATTCATTTATAGTTATATGTTTATATACCCATGCTGTAAATGCAATGTTTATATATTTATTTGATCAATAAAAAAAAAAAAAAACAAAAAAACTCGTGGCCACGACATAGTATCTCGAGGCCACAACTAAGCTATCTCGTGGCCACGACTTAGTAACTCGTGGCCACGACATAGTATCTCGTGGCCAAGACTTAGCCATCTCGTGGTCACGACTTAGTAACTCGTGGTCACGACTTAGTATCTCGTGGCCACGACTTAGTATCTCGTGGCCTTGAGATAAAAAAATACAAACATGTCACCCTTGTGCCACCGTAATAATCTGTCAAGTAGAGTTATCCGATTTTTCTTATGTTTGCTTAAGGTTCTTGTAACACTTGTAGCATAACTTTTGTAAGCGATGTCACACGCAAGAGATGGGAGAAGGATAAATATCATTATTTCATGCTTTCCAGTGTTTTATTGTAATATATCAGATGCTTATATAGAGGATATTTGTTTAGTTCAGTGTAAGATCGGAATATATTTCACCGAGTGAGCACCAAAAGGTATATTTCACGAGTGGCGCAGCCACGAGTGAAATATGAACTTTTGGTGTTCACAAGGTGAAATATATTTCAATCTTACACTAAACTAAACACATTTTCTTTTTATTATATACAAAGAAACGTTTTAAAAAGACATTAAACCTTATACTGAATGAAAAGCGCGCCAAATAATAATACAACGTGACGTCATTTACGACGTCACGTCATTAAGTTTGTACCCAGTACTGTGCACGCTGGTATTTCACTGAAACAACATAAGGGGCTTAAATTCAAAACAGTGAAATTACCAAAGTGGTAATTTCACTGTTTCAATCAGTGAAATTACCAGTTTTATATCACTGATATATTTCTATAAACAACCGAAAAGCATGTAATAAATTCTGAAATTTATAAAATATAATTTTCACTGTAGCCTATATCTGAATGCGGATGAACAGAAAATCAGAAATAAATGGAATAACAGGCAGAAATAAATGCCGTCATAAGTAAATATTGCTTCTTTAGGAAAAGAAAGACAATGTCATCATACATCATGTTAGAAATTTAACAAAATTAGAGAAATTTAACGGAACTAGATTTCAAAACTGATGATGTGACGTCATGATATAATGACGTCACAAAGGAGAATGCGCGACGTTACGCGGCAAAATCAGTAAGAAATTACTTAAAATCACTTAAAAAGCATAAAATAAAAAAGAAAATTTATTTGTTTTACATATAAGATTGAAATATATTTCATTCGTGAACACCAGCTATTATATTTTCACTCGTGGCTACGCCACTCGTGAAAATATTGCATCTGGTGTTCACTCAGTGAAATTATATTTCAATCTTACATGCAAAACAAACAAATATCCTCTATATATTGAAATATAAAGTTATTTATTTATCATCTATTTATTTATTTATGTATAATAATTCATTTTTATTTTTTTTTCAAACACTTTAGCACAGCGTTTTTTTCCCTTATACTTAATTGTGCCAGTCATGTACAAATTATTTTAATAATATAAACAAAGGGTTGGTTTCGATTTGGACAAATATTCCTGGGAATATATATAAAAATACAAATAAAAGTATTTGTGATAATGGTAAAACTTGAAGTCTGCAAACTGTAGACAAGGCCTGATTTTGTCTATATGAACACATTGAGCGAGACAGCATTATGCTTGGACGTTCTTGACATAATTATGCACTCAGAACAGTTTAATAATCTGTTCATAAGAGATAATAAAATTGCACGATCTGCAGCAGTCTTGCCTCTATTCAGTCTATTTGAATCAATAATCCCGTAAGAAAGGTGGTAATATTTCTTTCACATCAGAAGAACAGCTATACATACAGGAAAATCTGGCGATGCGGCATCTCTACATTTGAAGAAGGCTGACCAAAAAGTCAGAGCTGACCTTTCTCAGAAGACCATTGAAAATTCGTCCTATCACAAAAAGAATACATCTGCAGCAGTTACTTACTTATAAGTTGTGTAAACAAATTAATTAATTAAATTGATTCGCCTTTTGATATTCGAATTTCAAATTTTGACAGGCTGTGCGATAATTAAACCTTTCCGTTTAGTTTGAATGTTGTCTTCAACTGTTGTCTTCAAAATATTTATAGATAATCATGTGCAATTTATAATTGATTTCAATGTGTGTATAATATTTTTTATATGTTTGTAAATATAATTTATGCACACTTGATTTGTGTACGACTAATTTGTGCATATAATTTGTATATAATTCATACACATACATGTATATGTGTATGAGTTTCTATAAATGATTTCACTCAAAAGAAGATAATTCACTCAAAAGAAGATAATTAGATTGTACAACTTGCATCTAGGAAGAAAGAATTTACTACATGTACATAACATTATACTTGCTCTGTTTAGCCTACCAACACTGTTTTTATTTTCCAAAAATCTTTATAGTACTTTATAATGAGAAATAGATTGTTTATTAATATAACAGGCTTTCTGCTGTCTAAGTGAGCTCTTGAAACACTCGACCTAACTATGTTACAGCAGGAAACAAAAAAAAATCACATCCTGTTTTCGAGTAATTTGAGATATAAATACATTGTATGTAGGAGAAATAAGTGAACACTTGGATTTGCAAGCTAGTGTGAAACCAGCGTCTGTTTGTTATAAATGCGTTTTATAGAAACAAGATGCATGGATTAAACTGTTTGATTTTCGCCATTTTGGTGGAGTTTAGCTTTTCTCACGTTATATTTCCAGATGTTCTTGAAACAGCTTTACTGAATTTACGTTCAAAAAGGGAAAGTAAGTTTAATTTTAGATAATGATAAATGGATAAGATAAATTTCAGGTTTTTGATGTTGATATATATTATAAACACACATGTATTTACTAAGGATAATTCTAAACTTAAAGCGGGATTGATCTAGCTTGATAAAGGGGTCCATGTCAAAATTTTTTATCCAGACTAGTTTAATCCCTTTTCCCCTCTAAATACTTATATCGGTACTAGTCTTCTCCGAGTTTGATTCTTAAATACACGAACTAAAATTTAAATTGACTTATACATGCACTAAGCAATCGACAGTATCACTGGGGAGGAACTGTTACATAAAGGATGAAGTTCTTATGATAATTTGTCAGGAGTTCTCATGATAACTGTCACGGTATTCCTGGTAAATGTTACGGTTTTCGACGGAAAACCTTTTTATATATACAGAAGAAACACTCGTGAAATATGGTTATTTTCCTCTTGTGATTTTCTTCCTTGCCATACTTATTTATCTAATTATAATCGAAATTTGCAAACACAATGCTCCGGCTATCAACTTTATGCTCTGTTTTGTCACTGAGTTCTTTTGATAACTCTGAAGATCTCCTAGAGTTCTTATGATAACTTTTGTTACTGCTAGTGTGTTTCGTGTGCTAAGTTACGGTATATTTTAGCGTATTACAGGAGTTAAAAAGTCGCTTTGCCGGTGACAAAAGCTGTTATAAGAACACTAGGACATCGTCAGAGTTATCACAAGAACACCGTCACATTTAAAAAAAATCGAGTATTAATTTATTAGCCTTGGCTCTGCGTTTGCAACTTTCCATTATAATTAGGTTTTTTTTTCTTACTCTTAATACAATATGTAAGACAAGTTAAATCTTCAAAGTTTATTTTTGTACCGCTTACTCCCAATTATAGCTAACATTACCATTTTTAAAAGTGTTTCTCCAGTATATTAAAATGTATTCCGACGATATCCGTAACGTTTTCCAGAAACTCCCTGACAGTTATCATAAGAACTCCTGACAAGTTATCGTAAGCACTTCATCCTTCGTGTTACAGTTACTCCTCTGTGATTATAAAAGTCTGGATATCGCAGGCTACTCCGACTTTGTATAAGTTATTTATTTTGTGAAGAAGTTGGTATACATTTTAATACATTAATCAGTGAAAAGTATGCACTAAGAGAAACTTTATGTTGGCATGGTACATTAACTTATTAAAATACATGTATATGAACTACTATAATTAGCAGAATTTTCTATTTACATGAACGCACTAGAAAATCAGTACCAGTAACTCCTACTATCAGGTGAATTAAGCTTTCATGGATTGCCTCTCATTATTTAATCTAAGGGTACATATTCCATACGTTGCACTGTTTTACAGCACCATGCGGTGAAGAAATTGATTTAGAACAAACAGGCGGTGTAAATGAAATTCATCTCCGGACGGAATCATTCAACGGCACAGAATTCTACAGGTATTTCATTCTAACAGATTTCTACTACGCCGGTAGAGGAAGATTTGTTTCTACGTGACTTGAGTATACCAAGTAAAACAAAAACACACACATGAAATGAAGTTAACTCTTATCTCACACGATGTATAGTATGTTTATAAGCTGTTAATATGTTATGCACCGAAACAACCAATCTTGTTATTTCGCAGATGGACAATCTCAGAAAATTTCGATATCAAGAAGAATTTGAAAGTTTTTATTGATATACGGTATACCATCATCAAAAATTTTCTGACCTTTGTTGCGAAAATTAAATTAAATCTGAAGATTTCAGTGTATACCCACTGCTTTTTCTTATGTCCTGTCTATATATATTTCCGTAAGTTATGCCTTCATTATATGACAGTTAATCAATCAATTCAAATATAAATTAACTTTGTAACTTTCCAAAGTGAGAAAGTTTAATTTTGTTTTCTCAGCCACCACTTATATAACAGTTCTAGAAAAGTAGAAATATTCAAGTAATAATTAACATGTTATGTGAAATTATTGACTGATTTAACAGTTTTATCACCCTATTTCAACTACGTGACTAACACAATAAGTGCTATTGCAGCATATTGTTTTTTTTACATATTTAGGTCATTAAAGCGGATTGTAACTACAATTTGAAATGCGTTAATTACTTTCTTTATTAGCTACACATATTGTTTTACATTTAACTACATTTTAATAAAAGATTCATGAAAGATTGCATGAATCTGGGGGCATGCTGCCTTTAATTAAAAAGACATCTTTCATCCTTTTAAGAAGTTAACACACGACCAGATTTACAGAGTTCTATTGTATATGATTTCATGTATATTCAAATTGAAATCACCTTTCTATTCAGAGTAAATGAAGACTGTAAATGGACGCTTAAGACCACTCAAGATCATTTCATGATCTTAAAATCCGACTACTTCAGCGTCGAAGAGAGCGAGAACTGTATGTAAGTAACAAATAGTTTTCTAAAATGCATATTATAACCTATATAAAGCTAGTACAATAGAGTAACTAGGAATCAATATGCTGTCTCAGAACTTCAGTTATGCAAAATTTATATAACTGAAGTTTTGAGGCATAAAGCGATTTCACCTCCTCTTGTTAAGCCAACTGTCATCCAGGAGTTTAGACAGGCCCTCTTAGAGCTGTGGGTTCTAATCCCACGAGACGCCATACGCAGGCTTATCAGTGGCATAATGAGACAGTGTCAGGTCATAATCATCGGAAATGGACGCAACACTCGATATTGAGATCTTTCCACTTTTGGCTCATTTTCAAACTCATTCCATTTGTATCACCCATGCACACACACAAAATAAAGAGAAAAACCCTTATCTATAATACACTGTTCTCGAGCTTCAGTGATAAATCAGAACATAACAAAAAAACAAAAAATTAATATACTTGAATATCAAAATTATCCAAACATTACTATTAACTAATTAATTGTTGTATACCCATTTAAAATATACATCATCTTGATCCCTATCAGATTCTGTGTAGTATATTTAAGATATCACACACGTCAAAATCAATCTATCCCTCGTAGAATGCATACTAACTTACGGCTATGTATGGTGGCTATTTTGGTACATTGCGCGTTGCAATTTCGATAGCGACAACGCAACCTATATTGTTATCGCCTTTTCGTCTTGTCGCTAGCGACGTAACGTCAAAGCGCCTAAGGGCGCGTTGTCGCGATTTCGTCTTGTCTCGCGAAGCACGCCAAACGGCGCGTTGTCGTGCGGCGTGTTGTCGTGCGACGCGTTGTCGCCATATCGCTTGGCTAATAAGCCAATCCTTCGACAATGTGACATCGCGACAACACGCCGCACGACAACGGCATCGTTAGCGACAGGGCGACAAGACGAAAGTCCGACAATGCGCCGTTTGGCGCTTTGTCCTGTTGACGCTAGCGTCAACACGACGCACAAAAGCGTTCCAAATCAGCCCCATAGCTATGCTATATAACAGGCTCTCATAAATATGGCCAGTAAAGACAACATAAACATCTCTGTACTGGTCAGGGGAAGTAACCAATGCGAACATTTTTAGTGTATTCACAAACCCCATGTAACGGTTATTTTCCCTGATTAGTAGTGCGGTTTGTTTAGCAGACGCTTGGCTATTTGTCACAATTCTCAGAGTTCAATAGGGACAAAATTTAATGTTACTCCAGCAGCATAGAAATTGAATCGTTGCAACACTAAACATACCACAGACACGTTGATGTCATCCTCAGGAATCTTCAAGGACTGGAAATAAGACATCTCTGACATCTTCTACACAATTCAAAGCACACATATATACATTGATCTACAGTTCCCAACCTTAATATAAAGAAAATTTACATAAAATTTTGAAAAAAAATGTAACGGTTGTCTTGGAATATTGAATGTGACACATTTGTCATTCAATGAAATTCTGCATCTGATACCCAAAATAAAAGTCACGTGGTAGAACCTCTTTAACAAGATGCTTGCATGTAAAAGCCAATGTGTTTCGTATGTTTATGTATGAAAATCTGCATCGTCACGTTAAACCCAGCTTTGTTTTCACAATACCGGTAATTCACTACAAATTTATAGAAATAAACACTTCACTATTAAAAAAGTCTGTAGTGGTTGATCTTATGGTATAAACTATACTTAAATTATATATCCCGCCAAACCACTTAAAAGTTTATAAGAGCATCCACTTATGGTACAATGTCGTACGTAGCCTGACAAATTTACACATTGTGTTCCCCCCGAAGTGTATGATTTCAACATATTTCCACTACAATGTCGGATCTTGATCGTATTTTATTGTTTTTCATTGTTATAAACTTATTTGTACTGAATATGTTGTCTTCCCTATAATTATTTCGTCATTTAAAGTCAACATTATTAAAGGAGATTTATAGCATAGTTTGTCAGCAGCATTTTTAAACTTTAATTGACACAAGTCACGAACAACGGTAGATGGTGACATTCAGCAGGTTATCCAGATAGGTCATGCCAATCTTTTGAAAATAAATGCCGCCCTTTTGGTTAAATATATGGCCATTTTAATGTTTACTTGCTTATAAAGAAACAGATACGTATCAGTAAAATGAAATTGTTATTTGCGACTTTTAAAATGACAACTCTAAAACAAACAATAACACTGGGTTTGGATCTGTAACAAAAAGCTACATTTACATAAGTCGAAACAGAAAATTATCTTTTCATTGACTAATTTATGACATTACAGTTTCATTTGCACATAATTTGTAACAAGAATAGATATTTGTTCTTATGAAGCTTTAGTTCGGCTCACAGTTTGCTAACTTTTTTTCGAAAAGTATACAACACATCGACAACCTATAAATTCTGATTGTACGATTCAGTCATTGACATATCAGCATATTTCACTCTTAACATATACCAAGGAAATTCAAATCATCAGGGGTAGGACTAATTACTTACCAAAGTTTTTAATTAAATTATTTTTTTTTACCTTTTTTGTTAAGGTATAGTTTCTCAAAATCCATCAAAGCTACTTCCATTATAAAACTGTGACGCCATGTCAAACTAACAGATAATTCGAACCTTACCTTTTGCAAAATTATGAATGCATTTCAAAAGTGCAGGGAAATCTTGTTTTGCCATTTTTTGCCACCTTTTAACATAAAATTTCTTGTTAAACCTTTTTAATATTTATTTCTCAAAAAGTAAGTTTATGTTTCAGAAATCGCCTGCAATAGTAATACGTTTAGTTATTTATCTGGATAGCTGATAACAGATTCACAAAATAAAAAAATACAAGGCATATAATGCTTTCAGAATGACTTTAAGGTATACTTTATGCTTTATAAGTGCTTGTTTTAATCACTTTTATTAACATTGTAATTATTATGTTTGGTAGCTGGGACTATGTTGAGATTACAGAAAAGGGCGTTGATGGGACAACAAGCAAATACTGTGGTTGGGACCCATTGACATATATCACATTTGGGAGCAAAATCCAACTACAGTTCAAGTCGGATGAGACATATGAAGACAAGGGTTTTAAATTCATCATCGAGTCGAGTAAAAGTAAGTATTTTACTACTTATAAAATGATACCAATTGACTTCCAGCGTTTTGATTTAATCTCACCAATTAAGCATTATCAGAGTCAGAAAAAATCTACATAAACTACATATTGTACTCTGGTAATTCTGTTACAATACAAAGTTGTGTTGATTTCCAATATTTTCTTTAGTTATTTACAATTTATGGTCTGATTAATATTATTGATTACAATACTGGTTCTATTGGATTTCTTTACAGAGGTCAAAAACGTATATTTGACTTGATTAGCGTCTTGTCCAATTGTTTATTCGTCCAGCAGAATTCAATATTATACTCAACAATGTATAAAAATCTCAACTTATTACTATTTATAAGTCAATGAAATCTGAGACCAATTTATATACACTCAAAGTCGGCTGTAGCTGACTCCTTACTTTTTATGTCTGCTGCACTTACAATTGAAACACCGACAAAAAATCCTATTTTATAATTTTTAAATACTTTAAAATCGTAGATTTATGTTTGTCACAATAACTTGACCTATAAGAGGGAGACAAACCCGCTTGGTATTATCGTATCATGCTTCGTAGACCCTATAATTAACCCATTACTTCATGAGCATTTTGTGAAAAATGGCTGTTTTCATTGAAAAGTCTCCCGTTACAAGTTCAAATTGCTATAAAACTATAAAAACTGCTTCAATACTAATCAAACTTGGCACAAGTGTTGACTGGACCATTGCCTTTGCAACAACATGCTCAGGCTTAAATTTCCTGTTACCATGGCAACGAGGGGACATCTCAAAATTGCCAAAAATCACTATTTTGCGTTGATTTTTTCCATCAAAATTGACTTCAAAGTGCTGCAACTTCTCAATGGATTGAGATAGAGTCAAATGCTTTTCAGCGTTGGTTACACGTTACCTTATGATCGATCTGGGGTCATTTTTAGCCTCTAACAAGTCCAAAATTTTGTTGGCGATGAGGGGGACTCCGCCCACTTCAAACCCCCCTAACAGAAGGGGCACATCCCCCTTCTGGCAACCCCCTGATGTATATTTTTGTTGGGGGCCGCGCCGATAAAGTGGTCACTTTTTTTAATAACATTTCTCAAAACAACAAGTGTTGGGGGCCTAAATAAGGCATTTTTCACCATTTGAGACACACAAAAGGGGGAGGGGGTGAAACAGGCGTTGAAAGGCGTATATACCGCGTAATGGGTTAACGGAAAATGATGAAAATTCTTGAAGTTGCCCAAAATCGCGTTTTCCCATGTTTAAACATGGCCTAACATATAAATTTGAAGAAAAATTGTTGTTTTATAGATTTTTTTTTTATTTTCTTCATTAACAGAAAATGATGAAAATACTTGAAATAGTCCAAAATCGCGTTTTCCCATGTTTAAACATGGCCTTACATATAAATTTGAAGAAAAATTGTTGTTTTGTAGATTTTTTTATTTACTTCATTAAACAGAGCAATTTCATAGGGATGAAAAAATTAATGTTTTTGTTAAAATGATGAAACCTATTGCAGGAGATGGGGATGACTCTAAGTGCATTGGCAGTATATTGGGTGGTGAAGATTCAAGTATAATGAATAAAGAGGATTTAGGAGAGGATTGTTTTTACAGAATACAGGTAATGACATAGTAACATTCAAGTTTTACAGGTGGAGAAACGCTGAAGTGCCCCTTTGTGCATTATTTCAGGCATGTTACATAAGCTAGCTAATTCAGTCCCTGGCAGGATTCGAACGGTTAGAGGCATGTGGTTTTATATCAAAGACCTAAACCGCTTCGCCACGGACACCTTAATTGATTGTATACAAACGGTTTACGCAATGTTAATGGGTCTCATTGCATATTATCAATTACTTTATATCATGATAAGCATGTGTCAATCGATACGGCGTCGTTCAACCACTAATTGGGACCAGAGAACTATATATCTATTTCCGAAAGTCAACCGGATCCCGTAAGATTAAATAGCTCCGTAGGATATAATGAATTTAGACAGATTAAGTATATATAAAGGAATTAAATTCAATACAGTTATACTTTCTCCTACGTGGGATCAGATAAAGATACAAGTGTGCAAGTATAAATTATTACAGAAATGAAAGAATATATACACACATATCACCACATCGATATGCCAGTCCAATTACGGCACAGCGCCTAGCAGTTGAGTCATGAAAGCATAGCAACTGCTAACCACCATCACAAAAAATGATTGTTTCAGAACAGCTTTATATATAGTCACAAACTGCACTACACATTGAAGCAGGCTCAACATTCGAATAAAAAGAGTTTGTTCTCTGTAATCTTGTCTCACAAATCAACGATGAGATTTTTATTGTCTTCTTCACTGATTTGGACCAGAGAACTATATATCTATTTCCGAAAGTCAACTGGCTCCCGTAAGATCAAATAGATACGTAGGATACAATGAATTTAGACAGAAAAAGTATATATAAATGGAGATAATTAAATTCAATACAGTTGTACTTTCCCCTACGTGGGATCAGATAAAGATACAAGTGTGCAAATGAATTATTATAGAAATGAGAGAATATATACACACATACCACCACATCGATATGCCAGTCCAATTACGGCACAGCGCCTAGCAGAACAGTTATGAAAGCATAGCCACCGCTCGTCCAACATCAAATAAAAATGATGTTTGTTTGTTTGTATTTGAGTTTATTTATACTCGGCGCCGGAATAACCATGTGTAGTTGTGCTTGCCCTTCACTGCTTTGGGTTCGAATCCTGACAGAGACTTTGGAATCTTTCATGTGAGAGAGGCTATCCATCTAGCTTACGGAACATCGGTTGTTCTACTCAGGTGCCCGTTTCTCCACCAGTTAAGCTGGAAAGTGGTCAATTGACTATGTTGGTGCAACTTAAAAAACCCAACAAAAAATAAACATCAGTTTGTGTAATTTTACAAATGTTGATTTTGACATGCTCAAGCAGCTATCAGACATGATTGTAAAAAGTAAAAGTTAAGAAACAATATACGTATGGAGATAAGTTGATGGTAATACTGGAATATGAATTGAGGGTGCCAACCAATCAAAATTCAAGAAATTTATTGCATTATTGTAAATATACATGTATGCATTAGAGAAATTATAGACAGCTGAAAAACTATTACAAAAAAGTGATAATGACTTTATGAGTAGCCATTGCCATTTATTATATCAAACATGCACTGCTTCCAACATATTGTGTTAGCCTAGCTTATAGGTAAAGTGAAAACATCAAGTTTGATATTTTATACCCGCCGCATTATAAAATAAAATTTTAAGGTCCAGAACAAACAGTTATATTGTAAAATTGAGGTGAAAATCTCATTTTACTTTTCCAGAATCATTTGTTTGTTGTACAGTGCATTAACTCTCTACCATTAGCTTACAATTTCTGAGATTAAAAAAGATATTTTATTGGTAGCTCATTGCTTAAACCTGATTGGTTAAAATTTGTGTTGTGAGAATGGCAGTTTTTCCTTCATTATGTTTCTGATCAATACTAGAGTGAGGACATCTCTGTCAGTATGATGACAAATCACAGATATGTTTGATTAGATTATAGCAACAATTGACCAGTACACAGACAAGTCCTCTACCTCCCTTTCTGATGGCACACTAGTTAAGTAAAGAAAATGTATGGATTTGTTTATTTGTAAATTTACCAAGCATTGCTGTATATTAAATAAACGGTTGAATCTGTCTGGTATTTTAATGAACAGTGAAATCTGTATGGATTTAAAATTTGTTCATTGTTATTATTTAAGGAATTGCCACAGTATAAAGGATTTGATCACCTCTGTAATAGACTATAATAGTGTATTTAGCAGGCTTTAATCATCTCTTTAGAAGCGTGAGCAGGCTTTGAATACCTCTATAATAATGTGAGCAGGCTTTGAATACCTCTATAATTGTAGGAGCAGGCTTTGATCACCTCTATAGGCTATACATTACTGTTACAACACTACTGCTCAATGAGTCTTTTGCGCAGATTATATGGGTAAATTTTCTATATAAGTTTTATATACAGTTATAACTATTAGAATAATAGTGTTAGTGATTGAACAACAGTTGATAGTTCACACTGAGTTCATGCTGTTTATTACTGAAATTCATTCAGTCATCTCTAATTCATGTACATTTTTCTAACAGTAGGACATGTTCTGAATGACCAGTCTAAATATACTGTAGGTCAGTAATGATCAGCTGGTCAGTTGGGTGAAAATTTATATGTTTTTACATGGGTATTTGCCTAAAGCTCAGATTCTTTACACTCCCAAGCACTGTTTTTCTATAGGAAAAAAGACAATTAAAATGATGATAAATTCAGGGTTTTCTGACATTTTAAACTTTTAAGCATGTTTTAGAAAGTTAGTGAAAATTATCAGTGTAAATCAAGATTATATAGGTACAATTGTATCCTAACATTGTGCATAATATACTGGTGTAACGTTTTAGGTAACATGAAATAAGGACATGATATTCATTAAAATGAAAACAACTCTGATTGTTCTTTCATTTATCTAACAGACAAAAAAAACAGCAAAAAAAAAAACAGCAGAATTTGTGTAATGTATTTTGCCCAGTTTTGAATTCGAACAGTTGCTTCAAAATGTCCGTCCGAGATTTTAGCATCCTTGCCGGTCCACTATGGTAGTCTCATCGGGGACGTCTTTGTCAAGCAGAATCTTCCTGGTAGCCTATTCTTCGTTCGTTGGTGGTGGAGGAGACGACAATACTGTCAAGGCATCATATTCCTGACTGACGATAACAAAACGGCTCTCAATAGCGCCAACCCTCCAGAGTTAGTCACGACAGGTCAACCAGTCACCTCTGGTACTTAAGATGACTTGACCTTGACCTGCCGTGTGCCTTCTCCGCGACGTGCACGTGAAGGGATTTGGAGAAGATCACAAAAATGATGGTTTCAGAACAGCTTTATATACAGTCACAAACTGCACTACACATTGAAACAGGCTCAACATT